GCAAATCGTAGTGTGCTCTGGGTGAAACGACCTGTTTTCGGGAACCGCGGGTTCCTATCAGAACGAGATGCACTAACGGATGACTGAGGCCTCTGAGCAGGCAGCGGACGGTGAGAAGATGGGGATGGGGAGGCAGGCGGTGTGCTGCTGAAAGCCCGCCAGCCTCCACTTCAAACAATGTCTGAAATTTCAGCCTTTTTTACCTACAGTAAATCAGCCTTTTTTAGCTGAAATCTGAGGCCCTGATATGTACCCATGACAAGCACACTTTCTAGGTAACCAGTAAAAGGGTGCTTAGGGTACTATACATGGAGGCAGTGTCTGGGGATGGGAACTATTGCGAAATGCTTATGGTTATGGCACCATCCGATAAACATCGTACCGTATCGCCCCGGATATAAGCGAAGGCCTATGTTAAAGCTGCGGTCTACATACATAAATGCCTTTTTGGGGTACAATTAGCGTGGACACCCTATGACGCACTCTGATTAGCTTGCGAATTGACCCTTGTCCTGAAATGGGGGTGCGAAGGGGTCAAACAAGACTGGCGAATCCCGCCAGTTTCGTGAAAAAAAACTCGGGTGGGAGAACAACCCTCGGCGAATCCTCAAACGTTTCGAGCGGTTTAGGGTTTGGCGAAACTGATGAGCCAATCCTGAGAGTGCGAATTTCCAGGGGGGGGTTGCGGAGGTCACAAATCCTCGCCACTGAAGCTCACAGCAACCTGGTTTTCAAGTGATAAACTCAGGCCTCCCACGTGAGGTATGTAGGCCGCAGCTTTAAGCGCATGCGCTTATATCTGGAGCAATGCGCTTATGGCCGATCCTCAATTAGAAGCGCACCCCTTTTGATACCGTTGCTTATTATGAGCGCACCCTTGTTATAAAAATATTTTTTTTACTAATGTTTAATGATGGACATTACTATGAAAGCCCCACTTGGGCTTTCACATCCAGCAGCACTAATTTTCCATTAAGATAAACAAACACTTACAAGTTTAGCCACTAACTACTGTCCTAGCCTAAACAATTTCTATGGCTAGTCTAGCCTAAGGGAGGTCGTCCTCCTCGTCCGATACAGGCTCCTGACAGTTGTTGCCCCAGAAGCCGTCGGCTTGGATCTCGTCGTCGACATCTACCTCATGCGTCAGCTGGCTCCTCATGTGCGCCATCGCCAGCTTGTCCTCACTCCCGTCAAGGGCATTGCTGATGCCGCACGTGAGGAAGGCTTTCTTAATCAGGTCGGCGGGCACCGCCTTCCACGCCCGGGAAATCCACCTTAGCAAGACACCAGGAGACGGTTTCTTGATGTTCCCTGCACCACATGAAAGGGAGGGGGGAACATATTACAACATTAGACGGAGTAGTGTAAAGCACCCGTGGTTGCACGGTAGGGACAACACGTCGCTCGCCTGCTGCTGTCAGGGTGTTCATGCCGTCCTGCTCAAACCATGTCTTGTACTGCTGGCGCACACTCGCCTTGAAGCTCTTATTCACCGACACATCAAGCGGCTGCACGTCCGCCGTGCATCCCCCCGGGATGATCGCAGGCACGATGTTGAGCGCCGCGAATCTCTTCTTCACTTCGTCCGTCAGGTGACCACGGTAGGAGTCGAGGACGAGCATGGCGCTCCGTGCCCGCACGCCGAATTTCGGCTTGAGGAACGGCACCACGCCTCCGTCGAGCCACTGGATGACGTTCGTGGCTTCCATCCACCCGTTCTCTTGGCAGCCGATGACCACATCTGCGCACAAGCAATCGGTGGTTAGTTTCTGTTTAGTTTTTAAAAAGGCACTCAAGTACAAGAACACATTCGGGAAGTCGCACTTTGGCACGGTCTTGCGCTTGAAAATCACCCACGGCTTCAACTTCTCCCCCGTCGCCGTGCACGCCAGCATCACGGTGACTCTTTCTTTCTGGTAACCACCGCTTCGGATGGGCACCGACTTCACGCCAGTCTTCTCCGCGGTGGTTGTCGCCGGCATCTCCAGCCACAGAGGCGTCTGGTCGGCGTTGATTATGTAACGATTGTCGATGTCGTACTCCTTGCGTGCGTCACGTACAAACTGCGAGAAGTCTTTGCACTTGGTCGCCACGTCTGCGCATGGGGAGGTAAGGAGACAGAGGATGGCGGATGAGTAACATGATAAACATCCAGAGACGGGAGCAAGCAAACGATAAGAAAACCATGCGAATTCGGGCGAATTCGACGGGAAACAAGGCACTTACGATCCTGAGTTTTCTGCGCCACCTTTGTTTTCATGCGCATGCTGAGGTTCCACCGCTTGCGGAACCGCTCCGACCATCGCTGACTCCCTTTCCACTTGACATCCGGGAATAGCACCTTCATCACCTAGCGAGACCACTCTTGCAGATGGCCGACTGAAACTGCAACACCGCGGCGCCGCCAGTCGAGGAGTTGCGCGTACACCTTTATCTCCATCGGTCTGTACCATGACGACCTCCCGCGCCCATGATGTCGCTTCCGTGCGGCGTGTGAATCCTTGAGCTGTTGCGCTTGGGTCTTCCACTCGGACAGGCACTTGCGGTATATGCCGGACTCCCGCGCGACCTCGCTTATCGATGCTGCAAGCTCCAAGCGCACGAGCCACCTGAGTTTCTCCTGGGCGGTGTAGGATTGCCGTTTATGTTGAGAAGGCTTGTGCCTGGGAGAGTGGGGGCAGGCATCTCGGTTCTCAGAAGAGGGATGGGGACGTTTTTTGTTAATCGGCGGATACGTCGGTATCGGCATCTTCTCGCGTGGTGCATCACGCCACCATGATTCCACGTCGTCGTCGTCCGCGGCGCTGGCACCACCCTCTGGGAACACGTCCGCCTCTGCGCCAGCCTCGGCGCCTGTTTCATCGTCGCCACCCTCTTCACCGTCGCCGCGGTGCTGGTCATCGGCGGCCACGTCGTCGTCAGCGCCCACAGCCGACTCGTCCCACGTGCAGGCTTCAGGCTGGCCCCACCGTGGTGCCGGCGGCGGAGCGTCGATGTAGACATCGGCGGGCTTGTTTGACTCTGGTTCAGACAGGTATTCGTCGAAAGTCGCTGGTAGCAGCAGCTGGAGCACGGGTCGATTGCCCGTGTAAGCAGTACTCGTATGAGGCGGATTCGGAGGAGCTGGAGGAGCAGGAGGAGCAGGGGGTGCAGGTGGCGCTGGAGGCGCTGGTGGCTCAGGAGGCTATGGAGGCTCACAGGTATACCACCCGTCGTCGGTAAGTCGCCACGTGCGCTTTGGTTTTTTCTTGAAGAGGAAGTGGGTCCCGGTAAATTCCGCCATGGCTTCGCCAGCCAGGCGGGCTAGACTACTCGAAACTGAATGAAAAAATGAAAGTGGGGGTGCAGAAATCGGAAACGGAGGGGACCCCGTCGAGTTTGCGGCTCGGGGTCCTCGCCAATGACAGGCGGGAAATCCCCGCCTGCACCCGTTGAGGACCCTGCGTGGCAGTATAAACGCAGCGCTGGCAGGGAGCATGGCCCACGATATCAGGGTAAAACATCATGATTACCGTATGGCCCCGGATATAAGCGCAGGCCTATTATAAGCGCATGCGCTTGTATCTGGAGCAATGCGCTTATGGCCGATCCTCATTTATAAGCGCACCCCCTGTAAAACCTTGATTTATTATAAGCGCATGTATAATTTTATTTTTAAACCAGATTAAAACGGTAGCGATTTAAAAATTCGCAGTGAGGATACAACCATTTTCGCTTCGATTGACTTTCGAGGACCTCACATACTGCGCGTCCAGTCAGTATGAGCTGGCATTTCTTATAGTGACGTGTAAATTGCCCCTGTGCGCCGGCAGAAAATCGCTCACGCGCGAATCTGAATTGTGACTCGCTACCACTTCGACTCGATTGAAATCGCCAGAAGGAGATGTACAAATTGGTGCCAATAAATTATAAATTTGTATTTGTCATTATATAAGCGCATGCGCTTATATTTTTTTACTCAATTATAAGCGCACCCCCCTGAAAAACACTGTTTTATTATAAGCGCACCTGCGCTTATATCCGGGGTGATACGGTACCCTGATTTCAGGATGTTTTTATGCATTTGCCCTATAATTTCAGGATGATGTTGATTTTTACCCTGTTACTTCAGGATAATGTCGTATGTTTTGCAGGATGGCTGTGATATTTTGCCCTGAAGCGTCAGGATGATAGTGAGGAATGCCCTGACGCGAGTAAAGGAGGGGGGTGGGGGGGAGAAGGGAGGGTCTGTGTTCGTTTCCCCCAAGAATCTGGTCCTGCCTTCGCACGAACGATCCTTTGCCGAGTTGCTCATTTATTCATCGCATGCACCTTGAGTTGCGATGTTCTCTCGTTGGCACACTGCACTACTAATCAGGGTCCTGCGATTTTTTTGGCCTGAGATACCGTATCAGGATAAGGCCCACAGGTACCCTGAAACTTCAGGATGGCCATACAGTTTTGCCCTGAAAAATCAGGGCATTTTTTTGCCTTTTCAAGAGTTGCCCTGAGGCCTCAGGATGCCCTAAATCCTAGCACATGCCCTGGCAGGGAGGGAATCTTCCCCAGCCTTCGAGAGGGTTCGGAAGAAATGCACATGCCACGCAGCGCATGCGGCTGTGATTGGGCCGCACGGCAAATTTCGCGTCATCGCTGGTAGGTTCGATGCTTCTAGACGAAAATTTGCGGTGGGAAACCGAACCGCAGCTGTTTTCGCCTGGAATTCATGCACGATCCCACGTGATGCATGGTCGGCTGTACTGGCCTTATGTGAGCTTCAATTTGCTATGTTTCAAAGTGAATTTCTTTTTTTACCTATTACATGCGCATGCGCTTATAAAAATGACTCAATTAGAAGCGCACCCCCCTAAAAAACACCTTTTTTTTAATAAGCACACTTGCGCTTATATCCGGGGTGATACGGTACCGGTAACACCATAAACTATACATTACATGGATGGCACCATAAGGTTGCTTGCCAGTCCAAGTGAGGCACTCTTGCTATACATCAACCAATGCTAATTCGACCCCACGTGCATGACATAGAGCAGCACAGTGGCCATCCACAGCATGCCCATGAGCCCGCCTGCTTGAGAAAAATCCCATGCGGTAGTGTGCGACAGCAGCCAGAGGAACATGCGGTGAGTCCTCATGATTGCGGGCGGCGGCGGGCGGGCGCAGCGCTTGCAGAGCGGGCAGAGGGGCTTCTTCATGAGCCACTCGTCGATGCACGCTGTGTGGAACCCTGCACGGTGGACACATGGGGGGGAGGGGAAGTAGCGTGAGTGTGTGTGAATGTATGTATTTGCGGGAAAAGGGGCTTCTTCATGAGCCACTCATCGATGCAGGCCGTGTGGAACCCTGCACGGGTATGCCATTGGGGGGAGAGGCACGGCGGAGGTAGGGTAAGCAAATGGGAGCGCGTGTGCGCTTGCAGAGTGGGCAGAGGGGCTTCTGCACAAGCCACTCGTCGATGCATACTGTGACGAACCCTGCCGTGCCGTACACGGTGGACATGTGGTAGGGGGAGAGGAACGGCAGAGGTAGTGTGAGCAAGTGTCCTGTGTGTGCTTGTGCATGTGCGCGCGCACGTGTATGCGCATGTGTGCGTGCGTGCGTGTGCATGTGTTTGTGTGCGCGCTTGCGGGTGCGTGAGCGTTGGTGTGTGCACGTGCGTGCCCGTGTGCGTGTCTGTGTGTGTGCATGTGCGTGTGCACACGTGCGCATGTGTGCGTGCGTGCGTTGTGTGTGTGTGCGCGCGCGCGTGCGCGTGTGTATGTGTGAGCGCGCATGTGCATTGGCATGCCAGCCCGCCACTCACTGTGTTGGCATGGCAGTACTCTCAGCTGGTCGCCCCTCTTAAAGCCATCGAAGCAGATGGTGCACGGGTCTTCCTCCCCGCTCTCTGTCCTCACAACCTTTCTCCCTACTCCTCCACTGCAATCCAAACCCCTACCCGCATCCCCACTTCTATCCCCATGCGCATCTCCTTCCCCCTCGCCCTCCCCATCCACCTGCACCCGCCACTCCCCCCCTTCTCTGCTGCCCTGAACCAGCAGCTGGGATCGCTCCTCTCCCTCCTCTTCCTCCACTTCACACCGCCCTGCTGCCCCTCCTGTCGCCCCAGCCCTTGCCGCAACCGCTACAGGCACCGCCGCTGCTGCAGCGGCCACTAACGGCTGCTGCTCTCCCCCCTCGCCTCCTTCCAACGCTGCTGCTGCTCCCTCCTCGCCACTCGACCCACTGCCTTCACCCTCCTCGCCCTCGCGAGCCACGCTCCCCGCTCCCCCCTCCGCCGCACCTCTCTCCGCCGCACGTCTCTCCGCTGCTGCTCGTAGCGCGAGCCGTCTAATTACGCCCTCGCTTGAAGACCCCACAGGCCCACCTGGGAGGCTCCTCTTCATCAGCCCCTCTGTACAATCACCATCTGTACAATCACTGCAACAATCCGAGCCGCCTTCCTCCTCCTCCTTTTGCTGCTGCTGTTCCTGCTGCCACTGATCTCCGCCACCCTCCACTCCGCCGCACCCCTCCTCACCGTACACCACCTGCGGCAGCGCCGCCAGCTCCTCCGCCGTCATCGGCCCGAGGAAAACCATCCCCTCCTCCTCCCCCTCCCCCTCCCCCCCCCGTCCCCATTCCCCCCGTCCCCTCCCCCTTCCCCCCCCGCGGCCCGGGGAAACCCGCCGCACAGCAGCGCGAGCCACGGGCGGACGAATGCGCGCAGGAAGGGCGGGATGAAGTAGCTGAGGTGGCCCGCGCGGCGGGGGCGGCAGGAGTTGCGGAGCAGCGCGAGCACGTCGAAGACGAGCGCGGGCGGGAGGAAGAGCGCCGTGAAGAGCGCCACCTGCGCCGCCGTGTACGCGACGAGCGCGTGGTTCAGCGCCTCCGCGCACGCCTCCGAGTAGTCGCGCGCGGCGGTCGCCGCCAGGTGCGCGGAGCTGGCGAGCACCTGGCGGAGCGCGAGCGGAAGGAGCAGCACGAGCGTGGCGCAGAGCGCGAAGAAACCAAAGACGGCGTAGTGCGGAAAGTCGTCCATCTCGTCGCCGTCGCCGTCGCCCAGCCTGCTGCCGCTGATGCCGCTGCTGCTGCTGCCGTCGCTGTTGCCGTCGCCGCTGCCGTCGCTGTTGTCGCTCCACGGCTGGGTGCTGTCGCCGGAATCGATTGCGTCGAAGTTGAGCGGTTCGAAATCAACTGCTGCGGAAGCGGCGGCGTCCGTCGAGGAATCATCTGTTTCATCCCCCCCCTCTGTTTCAGGGGAAGCAGAATCGCGGTCAGTGTAGTCACCTTCGTCTTTATCACTGCGGCCTATGCGCAAGAACAAGCGATGCCGGCTGCTGGGTTGCGTGACAATAACGGGTTGTGTAACAATAACGGGTTGTGTAACGGATTGCGTAACAGCTACAGGCTCCGTGACCGTAGCGGGTTGCGTGGCCGCACCAATGCCGGCACCGGCAGGGAGGGACCCGAAAGCCAAGAGAAGCGACACGACGACGAAGAGACGAATCGGTCTGCGCGAGAAATGCGCAGCAGACACTCGTGCGAGAGCCATGGCTGGGATGCAAGGATCCCTCACGTCGACTGACTGAGCAGTTGTATCAATGGAGTGTTGAGAAGCTACAGTGTATCACCTTCGTCTCGCTAGCTCGCGATAAGAAAACATCTACAGCATGTATGTAAGCGTGGATCATCTACGTCGCGATTCGTAAATGCACACCATTCGAGCGAGGACCGACTATATGAGCAATATAATACATGGGATCAAGACGTCACGCGCGCCCTGGTCCCTCCGCTAGCTTCAAAGCTTTCTGCAACCTTCAACGGAGTACATTCCGAGTCAGAGCCACCTAAGCTGTGCTGTCGCCTACGTTGAAGCCTCGCCGTGTTTCCTAGCTATGACCGGACGAAATGCTCCATGGCATGGCTTGGTGGATGCACATGCCTGAGGCTTCAGGCCCTCCCTCCCTAGTTCTGCAACGATCAAAGGCTGAGAGCGACGCTAATGAAAGCGAAACCCTAGGCTAGCTTCCCTTCACATTCGTGTTCGCGGTGTGGTGTGACCCGTGAGTGCAGTGCACGAAACACCGAATTCAAGCTGGTGAGGGCAGGTCAACCATTTGTGTCCTTGGTGTGGGGTAGGCAGGCAGGCCCGCCCAAAACCTTGCCGCAGGTCAGATTGTAAAAACAATCGTAAGCCAATGACATACAATTTGACAAGCACTTGATTGGCTCCAACCTTGCAGCAAAAGTTCGACCTTGTTCGCTGAATGTAGTTTTGGGCAATCGCTCGTTATGCGCGTTAGTGTCCAATGACCATTGCTTTCGCAGTGCCCATCCGTTGTCGTCCAGCCTGGTTAGGATACCTGGCTTTCACCCAGGCGACCCGGGTTCGAATCTCGGCAACGGAGCTTTTCGCGGTTACGACCCAATAAAACCTAAACTCCTTCGCAGGGCCCACACCCACGAGTTTCTGCTTCGGGTGCACCTCGCAGACAGGGTTACCAATGCCAAGGCAGAGTCCTCTCGGGTTTGAAGTGAACACGCCCTTGGGGTTTTACCCAAAACTCCCTCATGGAGCGCAAAACCCCCTCCCCTACCAACCAGCGCCCTCTGTTTCTGGAAACCCCGCTGCACCCTAATACGCCCTCACTGCACCTCGACAGCCTCTTCTCCTCTGCACGCCGTTTTTCCGTCTCCACCCCACCGCGCCCTCTAGTAGCAGCGGCGTCACCTTTCGCTGCGTGTAGAATATCGTGGCAAGACGTCGCGCTGCGTCCACGTCGCTGCGTTCGTCGATTTTGAGATTTAGTTCCCGCAGCCAGCCGCCATGTTTCTTCAGGTGTACATCGACGACGAAGGCAAGAAGGTCTACACTCTCCAGGTAAGGAGCTGACTTTTGAGTCAACTCAAATGATTTAGGTCCCGAGCCAGCCAGCCGCCGCCATGTTTCTTCAGGTGTATATCGACGACGAGGGCAAGAAAGTATACACTCTCCAGGTAAGGAGCTGACTTCTAAGTCGACTAAAATTTTTTAGGTCCCGCAGCCAGGCAGCCGCCGCCATGTTCTTCAGGTGTACGTTGACGACGAGGGCAAGAAGGTCTATCCAGGTAAGTCCGTCTGTGAGGATTTCGCGCAATAGATCACGCGGCTTCGCCGTCGCCGCAGCCAGTCATATGCTTGGTCAGGGACGGTTTTCCGCTTCGTCGTCGGATGATGCGGCATAATGCGGCATGACATGATGGGGCATGATGGGGCACGATGCAGCAATGTGTCTTCTTTATACAATTGTCATTTAGAATCGTATCGGAGCTGCTTATGACGGTATGTCTCGCCCTCCCTCCCCTCCCCCGTGATTGCGCGCAGAGAATGGAACCCGACGGCTCCAAGCCCACGCAATCCGCACACCCAGGTCCGTGCGCTCCGTTCCTTTCCCCCCCTCGCTGCTCCCCCCCTCGCTGCTCCCCCCCTCGCTGCTCCCCCCCTCGCTGCTCCCCCCCTCGCTGCTCTCCCCCTCGCTGCTCCTCCCCTCGCGGCTCCCCCCTTCACGGCTGGCCTCCTCGCGGCGTGTCGAGCTCGCCCACTAGCTATTCTCCCTAGCCTGCTTCTGCTCTGCCCTTCCTGGCGCTACCATTTTTGCCTTTTTCATCAAACCCCTTCCTGTTTCAACCCCCGTCGCACATTCGTCGCTCATCTTGGCGGCACCAACTCTCGTCGTTCGTGCGACGACCAATGATATGCCAGTCTTGTCGCACGCTCGCCAGTCTTGTCGCACGCTCTTGCTGAATGCACTCACGCTGTCGCATCCGCACCCAGTCCCTCTCTGCTTCTTGTCACCAGCACCCTGACGCATCCCCACCCATCTCCACCCATCCCCAACCATGCCCACACATTCACCCACCCGCACGCCTCCCCACCTTCTCCAACCCCTCTTCACGTATTCCCACTATTCCCATGTTAACCCTGCTCCCCCCACCATTGCCCTACTCGAAGAAGAGGGTGGCATGCAAGTCGCACTTCAATAAATCCACCTCTACTGACACCCCCACCCATTTCCACCCATCCCCACCCCTTCTGTAACGCCTGTGGGGCTTACACGTAAGGGTATGAGAGCATCCGCTGCGCCTCAAATACAACCCTCGTTTTGACCCAGTGGGTAGCGAGGTGTTACACCTTCCCTCTTTGCTTTTCCCCCACCAGCGCGCTTCTCCCCACACAAGTACTCGAAGCAGAGGGTGGCATGCACGCCAGGTCTCCCATCATCCCCACCCCTCCCCACCTTCCTCAACCCCTCCCCATTCAATCTCACCCATCCCCACCCTGCTCCCCCCCACCAGCGCGCTTCTCCCCGGACGACAAGTACTCGAAGCAGAGGGTGGCATGCAAGTCGCGCTTCAAGCTCCTGCCCTCGCAGCAGCAGCCCTACAAGTACTGATCAATCACACCCCTGCCCTGCCCCGCAACGGAGTGCTGCTGCTGTAACCGTTTTCTGTAACTGTTACACCCGTGTGTTCCGGCCGTGCAGTGGAGTGCAGCTGCTGCTTTTGCTCTTGTAGCCGCTCTCATAAAGCACACGCATAGGGTTGGGTCATTACAGGCGGCTGCCACCGTGGTCTGACTCTAACAAGCTGCCTCGCTCTGCGGTTACGAGTCTAGTTGTTTTGCCAGGAGGGGTAGTTCTCAAGTCTGTGTATATGATGGGTTTTTCGCTTCCAATATTATGTCACCGGAGCTCTCCAGAGCCTGGTTCTGAGACGGTAACAATGGCGCACACATGGCCATTACTCAACTGGGAGTGTGCATTTCTCCACGATGGTAGAGCAGGCAACAGTACCTATTGCTAAAGCAACAATCGGAAACCTTGAGTAGCACTACAATGGGTGACTATGGCAGGGTGAGAGAGGCCGAGAGCGGCTACAAGAGCCGAAGGTCAAATGTGCTGCGTCCAAATGTGTACGTAAAACCCAAAGGTCAAAATCTCCCAAATTTGGTTCATCCTTCCTTACAACTGCTTGACCTTATCGAATTCGCCCTTGTTCTGGACACCACCCTATTCTATCGTGGGCCAATCACGAACGATCCTTGCTTCAACTAGATTATGGCGCCTGTGAACCTTTGTCCTTGGTTGAAGTGCCTTGAAAGGCCATGGATGGATCATCTAACGGGCTTGGAGTCGATCTCCTCAGCCTTGGGCAGCATCATGGCGAGAGTCTCTATGTACCCTGCCTCCTTGGCCTGCCAGCAGTGCATGCACATGTGTGTGTTCAAGGAGAGGGGGGAAGGGGATGAGAGGAGAGGAGGGGGCTTGGCTTGCGGTCTCAATGGGCTTGGAGTCGATCTCCTCTGCCCTGGGCAGCATCATGGCGAGAGTCTCTATGTACCCTGCCTCCTTGGCCTGCCAGCAGTGCATGCACATGTGTGTGTTCAAGGAGAGGGGGGAAGGGGATGAGAGGAGAGGAGGGGGCTTGGCTTGGGGTCTCAATGGGCTTGGAGTCGATCTCCTCTGCCCTGGGCAGCATCATGGCGAGAGTCTCTATGTACCCTGCCTCCTTGGCCTGCCAGCAGTGCATGCACATGTGTGTGTTCAAGGAGAGGGGGGAAGGGGATGAGAGGAGAGGAGGGGGCTTGGCTTGCGGTCTCAATGGGCTTGGAGTCGATCTCCTCTGCCCTGGGCAGCATCATGGCGAGAGTCTCTATGTACCCTGCCTCCTTGGCCTGCCAGCAGTGCATGCACATGTGTGTGTTCAAGGAGAGGGGGGAAGGGGATGAGAGGAGAGGAGGGGGCTTGGCTTGCGGTCTCAATGGGCTTGGAGTCGATCTCCTCTGCCCTGGGCAGCATCATGGCGAGAGTCTCTATGTACCCTGCCTCCTTGGCCTGCCAGCAGTGCATGCACATGTGTGTGTTCAAGGAGAGGGGGGAAGGGGATGAGAGGAGAGGAGGGGGCTTGGCTTGCGGTCTCAATGGGCTTGGAGTCGATCTCCTCTGCCCTGGGCAGCATCATGGCGAGAGTCTCTATGTACCCTGTCTCCTTGGCCTGCCAGCAGTGCATGCACATGTGTGTGTTCAAGGAGAGGTGGGAAGGGGATGAGAGGAGAGGAGGGGGCTTGGCTTGCGGTCTCAATGGGCTTGGAGTCGATCTCCTCTGCCCTGGGCAGCATCATGGCGAGAGTCTCTATGTACCCTGCCTCCTTGGCCTGCCAGCAGTGCATGCACATGTGTGTGTTCAAGGAGAGGGGGGAAGGGGATGAGAGGAGAGGAGGGGGCTTGGCTTGCGGTCTCAATGGGCTTGGAGTCGATCTCCTCTGCCCTGGGCAGCATCATGGCGAGAGTCTCTATGTACCCTGCCTCCTTGGCCTGCCAGCAGTGCATGCACATGTGTGTGTTCAAGGAGAGGGGGGAAGGGGATGAGAGGAGAGGAGGGGGCTTGGCTTGCGGTCTCAATGGGCTTGGAGTCGATCTCCTCTGCCCTGGGCAGCATCATGGCGAGAGTCTCTATGTACCCTGCCTCCTTGGCCTGCCAGCAGTGCATGCACATGTGTGTGTTCAAGGAGAGGGGGGAAGGGGATGAGAGGAGAGGAGGGGGCTTGGCTTGCGGTCTCAATAGGCTTGGAGTCGATCTCCTCTGCCCTGGGCAGCATCATGGCGAGAGTCTCTATGTACCCTGCCTCCTTGGCCTGCCAGCAGTGCATGCACATGTGTGTGTTCAAGGAGAGGGGGGAAGGGGATGAGAGGAGAGGAGGGGGCTTGGCTTGCGGTCTCAATGGGCTTGGAGTCGATCTCCTCTGCCCTGGGCAGCATCATGGCGAGAGTCTCTATGTACCCTGCCTCCTTGGCCTGCCAGCAGTGCATGCACATGTGTGTGTTCAAGGAGAGGGGGGAAGGGGATGAGAGGAGAGGAGGGGGCTTGGCTTGCGGTCTCAATGGGCTTGGAGTCGATCTCCTCTGCCCTGGGCAGCATCATGGCGAGAGTCTCTATGTACCCTGCCTCCTTGGCCTGCCAGCAGTGCATGCACATGTGTGTGTTCAAGGAGAGGGGGGAAGGGGATGAGAGGAGAGGAGGGGGCTTGGCTTGCGGTCTCAATGGGCTTGGAGTCGATCTCCTCTGCCCTGGGCAGCATCATGGCGAGAGTCTCTATGTACCCTGCCTCCTTGGCCTGCCAGCAGTGCATGCACATGTGTGTGTTCAAGGAGAGGGGGGAAGGGGATGAGAGGAGAGGAGGGGGCTTGGCTTGCGGTCTCAATGGGCTTGGAGTCGATCTCCTCTGCCCTGGGCAGCATCATGGCGAGAGTCTCTATGTACCCTGCCTCCTTGGCCTGCCAGCAGTGCATGCACATGTGTGTGTTCAAGGAGAGGGGGGAAGGGGATGAGAGGAGAGGAGGGGGCTTGGCTTGCGGTCTCAATGGGCTTGGAGTCGATCTCCTCTGCCCTGGGCAGCATCATGGCGAGAGTCTCTATGTACCCTGCCTCCTTGGCCTGCCAGCAGTGCATGCACATGTGTGTGTTCAAGGAGAGGGGGGAAGGGGATGAGAGGAGAGGAGGGGGCTTGGCTTGCGGTCTCAATGGGCTTGGAGTCGATCTCCTCTGCCCTGGGCAGCATCATGGCGAGAGTCTCTATGTACCCTGCCTCCTTGGCCTGCCAGCAGTGCATGCACATGTGTGTGTTCAAGGAGAGGGGGGAAGGGGATGAGAGGAGAGGAGGGGGCTTGGCTTGCGGTCTCAATGGGCTTGGAGTCGATCTCCTCTGCCCTGGGCAGCATCATGGCGAGAGTCTCTATGTACCCTGCCTCCTTGGCCTGCCAGCAGTGCATGCACATGTGTGTGTTCAAGGAGAGGGGGGAAGGGGATGAGAGGAGAGGAGGGGGCTTGGCTTGCGGTCTCAATGGGCTTGGAGTCGATCTCCTCTGCCCTGGGCAGCATCATGGCGAGAGTCTCTATGTACCCTGCCTCCTTGGCCTGCCAGCAGTGCATGCACATGTGTGTGTTCAAGGAGAGGGGGGAAGGGGATGAGAGGAGAGGAGGGGGCTTGGCTTGCGGTCTCAATGGGCTTGGAGTCGATCTCCTCTGCCCTGGGCAGCATCATGGCGAGAGTCTCTATGTACCCTGTCTCCTTGGCCTGCCAGCAGTGCATGCACATGTGTGTGTTCAAGGAGAGGGGGGAAGGGGATGAGAGGAGAGGAGGGGGCTTGGCTTGCGGTCTCAATGGGCTTGGAGTCGATCTCCTCTGCCCTGGGCAGCATCATGGCGAGAGTCTCTATGTACCCTGCCTCCTTGGCCTGCCAGCAGTGCATGCACATGTGTGTGTTCAAGGAGAGGGGGGAAGGGGATGAGAGGAGAGGAGGGGGCTTGGCTTGCGGTCTCAATGGGCTTGGAGTCGATCTCCTCTGCCCTGGGCAGCATCATGGCGAGAGTCTCTATGTACCCTGCCTCCTTGGCCTGCCAGCAGTGCATGCACATGTGTGTGTTCAAGGAGAGGGGGGAAGGGGATGAGAGGAGAGGAGGGGGCTTGGCTTGCGGTCTCAATGGGCTTGGAGTCGATCTCCTCTGCCCTGGGCAGCATCATGGCGAGAGTCTCTATGTACCCTGCCTCCTTGGCCTGCCAGCAGTGCATGCACATGTGTGTGTTCAAGGAGAGGGGGGAAGGGGATGAGAGGAGAGGAGGGGGCTTGGCTTGCGGTCTCAATGGGCTTGGAGTCGATCTCCTCTGCCCTGGGCAGCATCATGGCGAGAGTCTCTATGTACCCTGCCTCCTTGGCCTGCCAGCAGTGCATGCACATGTGTGTGTTCAAGGAGAGGGGGGAAGGGGATGAGAGGAGAGGAGGGGGCTTGGCTTGCGGTCTCAATAGGCTTGGAGTCGATCTCCTCTGCCCTGGGCAGCATCATGGCGAGAGTCTCTATGTACCCTGCCTCCTTGGCCTGCCAGCAGTGCATGCACATGTGTGTGTTCAAGGAGAGGGGGGAAGGGGATGAGAGGAGAGGAGGGGGCTTGGCTTGCGGTCTCAATGGGCTTGGAGTCGATCTCCTCTGCCCTGGGCAGCATCATGGCGAGAGTCTCTATGTACCCTGCCTCCTTGGCCTGCCAGCAGTGCATGCACATGTGTGTGTTCAAGGAGAGGGGGGAAGGGGATGAGAGGAGAGGAGGGGGCTTGGCTTGCGGTCTCAATGGGCTTGGAGTCGATCTCCTCTGCCCTGGGCAGCATCATGGCGAGAGTCTCTATGTACCCTGCCTCCTTGGCCTGCCAGCAGTGCATGCACATGTGTGTGTTCAAGGAGAGGGGGGAAGGGGATGAGAGGAGAGGAGGGGGCTTGGCTTGCGGTCTCAATGGGCTTGGAGTCGATCTCCTCTGCCCTGGGCAGCATCATGGCGAGAGTCTCTATGTACCCTGCCTCCTTGGCCTGCCAGCAGTGCATGCACATGTGTGTGTTCAAGGAGAGGGGGGAAGGGGATGAGGAGAGGAGGGGGCTTGGCTTGCGGTCTCAATGGGCTTGGAGTCGATCTCCTCTGCCCTGGGCAGCATCATGGCGAGAGTCTCTATGTACCCTGCCTCCTTGGCCTGCCAGCAGTGCATGCACATGTGTGTGTTCAAGGAGGGGAGAGGGGAGGGGAAGTGGTGAGAGGAGAGAAATTGGGGCCTCAATGTACCCTGCCTCCTTGGCCTGCTTAAGAAGAAGGGATGAGAGGAAAGGGACTGAGCCTCAATGTAACCTGCTCCTTGGCCTTCACTCAGTGGATGCATGTGCCTGTCGCAAGGAGGGGAGCAGGGAGGGGGAAGAGTGGAGGGCTTGGGCCTCAGTGTACCCTGCTTCTTTGCAGCGGTGCATGGAGGAAGGGGGGGGGGAGATGGGATGAGAGGAGAGGGAATAGGGTCTCAATGTACCCTGCCTCCTTGGCCTGTACTCAGTGTGGATGTATGTGTGTGTTGCAAGGAGGCCAGAAGGAGGGGAGGGGGGAGGGCAAGGCAAAGAAAGAGGCAGACAGCTGTGATACTTATCCACCAACACAGGCTGCCAACCCACTAACATAGGGGTTGCGCTAGAGTGTGACGAGCCAGAACCTTGAAACCTTAAACCCTCAACCCTGGGCCCTGAACCATAAACCGTGGGCCCTGCACCCTAAACCCTGGGCCCTGAACCCTAAACTGTGGGCCTTGAACCCTAAACCCTAGACTCACACAGGGGTTGCGCTCGAGGTAGAGAGTGACGAGCGATGCCTTGGGGCCGTCCAGCGCAGCCATGAGCTGCGCGAGCGACTCGATGCGGTTGTCGTTCAGCCACAGGTCCTCCAGACTGCACGGGGCCATGGGGTGATGGATGGGGGAATGGGGGCTGATGCAGTGAGTGCAGGTGGTGAGTGCGGGAAGCACATGCAGGGAGGCCATGAGCTGTGAGAGCGACTCAATGCGGTTGTCGTTCAGCCAGAGATCCTCCAAACTGGTGGGGCCATGGGGTGAGGGATGAGGGCAAGGGGCAGTGGCGCATGAGGGCATGCGGGCGGATGCAGTGAGTGCAGGAAGCACCTGCAGAGCGGCCATGAGCTGCGCGAGTGACTCGATGCGGTTGTCGTTCAGCCAGAGATCCTCCAAACTGGTGGGGCCATGGGGTGAGGGATGAGGGCAAGGGGCAGTGGCGCATGAGGGCATGCGGGCGGATGCAGTGAGTGCATGAAGCACCTGCAGAGCGGCCATGAGCTGCGCGAGTGACTCAATGCGGTTGTCGTTCAACCACAGGTCTTCCAGGCTGCGGAGGCAAGGGGGAGCAAGAAACGAGGGGAGTGGGGTAGATGAGGGCGGAAGCGAAGCAGTGATGCGCATGAGGGGCTTGAGGGGATGAGGGCCCAGCAAGCAACTCGATTCGATTATCGTTCAGCTACAGATCCTCCAACCTGACACGCGATGGGGAGTGCGGGACGAGGACGAGGGGACTGAGGTGGATGATGGCTTATGCATGCAGTGGGTGCAGCGACTCGATTCGGTTGTTGTTCAGCCACACAGGTCCTCCAGCCTGCAGCGATAGGGGGGTGTGGGTTGGTGAGCGCCTCAAGTCCTTCCATGCTGCTGATGCATACTCACACTCACACACTCGCACACTCACACACCAGCCCACCTGGTGAGTGTGTCCAGGCCTTGCACATGAGTGATGGCATTAGCAGCAAGGTCCAGGATGCGCAGGTTGGTGAGCGCCTCCAGCCCCTCCATCACAGTAATGCCGTTGTTGCTCAGATACAGCTCCTGCAGCCGCGTGCACGTCTGGTGGTGGTGATGGTGGTGGGGATCGGGAGCAGGGGGGAGGACGGAGAGTATTAGTGGTGAGAGGGCACCCCTCCATCACACTGATGCCGTTGTTGCTCAGATACAGCTCCTGAAGGCGCGTGCACGACTGGTGGTTGTGGTGGTGGGAGTGGGGAGCAAAGGGAGGGGGGGCTATCGAGGTTGAATAAAGGTTGGTGAGAGAGGCAAGGATGTGCGCACTGACGCTGCAACGGCTACATTGCTTGCAGAAGATTGACTCATCACGCAGGCACGGAAACGGGGCGGTGAGGCGAGCGGTTGCTCTGCACGCTCTCGCCACAGCTGTGCACCTGCATTGTGCGGCGCTTACTCACCTCGAGTCCGCGCATGCACGTGAGTCGGTTGTTCTGCACGCTGATCTTCACCAGCGCTGTGAGCCCCTCCACACGCTCGTTCATGCACTCACACACTCTCATGCCCTTTCACACTCATACCCTCACACTCACTCCCGCACCTCGAACCCACGCATGCACGTGAGGCGGTTGCTCTGCACGCTGATCTTCACCAGCGCTGACAGCCCATCCACGCGCACCTCCCGTATCTTGTTGCGCCCCACCCACAGCTCCTCCAGGGCCGACAGGTGCGATAAATTCTCCATCTCCTACCAGGGTATGGGGGACGGAAGCGCGAGTGGCGGGCGGGCGTGGCGAGGGGCTTGTGAGAGTCAAAGTCCCTTCCAATGCGGTCAGGAACGACAGGTTTTATGGATAGAGCATGAGAGGGGGCAGGCTGATTAATGAGGGCGGGGCGGGCGGATGGGAGGAATCTCCATTTCTGGGTCAGTGGTGCGCCCAGCAGCCTCAGGCCGTGACCTCGCTTGAGAAATGAGGTTTCTAGACCAAGTTGACTTTGTTTGCTGACCCCAACTCACTCATCCACATCGCATTCAACCGTGCCTCATCCCCACCCACCCCACCGCACCCAAATCTTGTTGAACTCCACCCACCCACTCCAGCAGCCTGAGCTGCGTGAACCCCTCCACTCCAGTGCCTCAATGTGCCCGATGCGGTTGTTGTTGGCCAGGTAGATACTGCTCGCACACGTTTAGCTGGAGGGGTAAGGTGGAGGTGACCTGTCTCACCTTGCTGCACCTCACTGCATCCTGAGCTTGCCCCACTGCATCTCAGCCCCCCCTCCCCACCCCGCATGTAACCAACCCCACCCCCTCCCCTTCCCCGCCCCACACTCACCCGGATCTTATTCGACCCCAGCTCCAGCAGCCTCAGCTGAGTGAACCCCTCGAGCGCCTCAATGTGCCCGATGCGGTTGTTCGCCAGATACAGCTCGCGCAGAGCGGGGAGGGCGGAGGAGGCGAGGGGAGCCATGCCGTGGATGTGATTGTAGGAGAGGTCGAGCAGCGAGAGGGCGGTGAGGGGGGAAACGAGGGGCACCTTCTTTAGAAGATTGTCCCGCAACACAAGCTCCTGGGGATGGTGGGAGGATGGGAGGGTGAGAGGGTGGGAGGGGCGCCATGGCGTGGATGTGGTTGTAGGAGAGGTCCAGGAGTGTGAGGGCGGTGAGGGGGGGGACGCAAGGGACCTTCTTCAAGAGGTTGTCGCGCAGCACGAGCTCCTGACGGGTGGCGGGAGTGGGTGGATGAGAGAGAAGAGAAGGAGGGGAGGGAGGGGGTGAGAGGGGTGAGTGGGGTGGCAAGGCGTTGATGTGATTATAGGAGAGGTCGAGCAGTGAGGGGGGTGGTAGGGGGGAGACGCAGCGCGCCTTGAGAGCTGAGGCGGGTGGGAGGATAGAAGGGTAAGAGAGGGGTGAGAGGGTGAGAGGGTGAGAGGGTGAGAGGGGTGAGAGGGTGAGAGGGTGAGAGAGGTGAGAGGGGTGGGAGGGTAGGAGGGTGCGAGGGGCGGCAGGTCGTGGATGTGATAGGGCCGACACGAGGGGCACCTTCTTCACGAGGATGTCCCACAGCACAGCACGAGCTCTTGGAAGGTGGGGGGCGCGGGTGGATGGGGGATGGGTGGATGAGGGAATGGGGGGCGGGGGGAGAGGGAGGAGAGGGAAAGATGGATCATGGAGGCGGCATCTCAGCAGTAGCTCCCGGGGCAGCGGGGGGTTGGGGCAACGGGGGAATGGGGCAGCGGGGATGGGGGGAAAGTGGGGCAGTGGGGGAGCGGACGGCGAACGCGGGGAATGGGCATCAAAATGATTCAGGGATTCAGCGAGCAGGAGGTGCAGGAAGGGCGGAGAGGAGCAGAGCAGGTAGCGCCGCGTTGAAAGGGGTGTCTCTCCGCACAGCACGAGTGCGTCAGGGCAGGGGGGCTGGTTGGCAGGGTGCGAGAGTGGGGAGCGAGGCATGGATTGGTGGATGTGATTATAACGGGGGTGGAGGAGGGAGCAGGAGGGAAGAATGAGCCACGAGGCACCTCCTTTGGACGGGTCGCTCCTTCAGCGCCGTCTCGACAGTCGCCTCGTGAGTTCAGAAGGAGTGGGAGTGAGAGGGGATGAGAAGGAAATTTGACGGAAATGTGACCTTACTTTGAGTGACGTCAGCCGGGTCAGATCTTTCAGCCCCGCTCCAGCGGCATCCGTTATAAGGTTCTGTCGGAACGACAGCTTCTCCAGCCGCTCCAAGCCGCCGATCCGAGGGTCCAGCGCGGCGAGGCGGTTGGTGGTGAGGTCCAGATCGGTAAGAGTCGGTGGGAGGGGAATGCCGGCGAGGTCCTTGAGCTGGTTACCAGTGAGGTCCAGCACGTCGCCGTCGTCCGACAGGTACATGTTCAGCTGCGTCGCACGGCCCTCGGGAGTGTCGTCGTCGTCGTCGCCAGCATTGTCGTCGCCGGGGTTTCCATCGCCGGCGACGTCGTCGCTCGGCTGCGGCTGCGACGCGTCGGGAATGCGACGAGTGTCGCCATCATCGCCAGTAGGGTCGTTATCCGGCATTTGGTCAAACTTGGTTCCCCGGTTGTAATAAGGTGGAGTTGCGACGAGGACCACGGTAGAAGATCTGTTGGAACCAACTCAGTCGCTAGTACTGACCTAAAAGGGCGTGCGGCTTGTTGGATGGAATAACAGGAGAACAGAATCGCAGGTTGCGGAAAAGGCAACTGACGAGCTCCCGCAGTGCGAATGTCACGAAATCAGCGGCGGTGAGGAGAGGAAGCTTGGAGAGAGACAGGACGAGATCGGACGGCGGTGTTCGGAGCGGTGGAGAGGAGGCAGGTGAAACACGGAGCAGGCCTGCCTGGTCTGAAAATGCTTCTCGAAACGTCTGACGAACAACTTGTTACGAGGAATCGAGGCTGTTGCGCTTTGGGCGAAAAGTCCGATTCGCGATTGTCTGGCGAACTTGGTGACACTGTAGAGTCTCTTCGTGAGGCTAGCTTCAAATTTGTACCGGTAACCACTTCGTCAGTGTTTCCCTCTCTCGCCTGGGTAACCACCCTCATACGAGCTTTCAGCTCGCTCGCATGCTCGCTTCCTCCCTCCACCTCAACCCCACTGCACCCGATTCCACTCCTCCCCAAGCCAAGCTCCCAACCTTTCACATCTTCGATATGCCACGCCACCTGGACTATTCTCCACGCGACAACTCCACCTCGTCTGAACAACACGGGCCAACTTACTTTTTGGAGCTGTACATGTTTCTCAACCACGTGAGGCACGCCGGTGCGCGCCGTTGAAAGCGTCGCCCGTTGCGGGCCGTCGTGATGCTTCGCGGGGTTCAACGGCGGAAATGCGATCCGGCGAGTCGCAGAGTTTGCGCGTTTCGGTGTCGCCTCGTCGGACGAGCTCGCGATTGTGTTGGAATGAACTGCTGCAGCTGCTCGCGTGGCACCAGGGTGGCGGGACAACATTTCACGTGGCGAAAATTTTCGCCACAATTTCCCCGTCAGCCAAAATTCGAACCTACAAAAGGCATCTTGCAAAAATGCCCACTCGCCACCACACCCTTCATATCTCCAGACAGCAAAGCATCATCACCTTTTCACCAATCAAAACTTATCAATCCTCCACCTCATCTCTCCTCCTATCCTCATCATCCTTCCCATCCCATCATCCACCAATCAAACAAAAGATTCCATACAAAGCCTTCATATCCAAGCCACATTCTTTCCACTCACCAAGCCTTAAAATCAAAGCCAAATTCATCCCACTCACCAAGCCTTAATTTCAAGGCCACATTCATTCTCCTCACCAAGCCTTCACTTCAAGGCCACATTCATCACCCCCACCTTATCCAACTCAACTAATCACAATCATTCATCTTTTCCTCATCCTTCATCCAACATCAAGCTCCACCAAATACAAATGGGTTCACCTCATTTCCTCAAACTAATACTTTCAAGTCACTTTACACCCAAGTTCTCTACAAGTTCCACTACAAGCTCTCTCAAGACCACCTTCAATTTCCTCCTCCTTATGCTCAACTCCTAAGGCTCCACTCATATCACCAACCTCTCCCAACCCAAGCTCATTGCCATGTTCTCCAACTCTAGAGAAGTTTATGCTTCATAGTCTTTCTTTTAGATTGTTATTAATGGTTGCTCCTCAAGTCCATCATGTACCTCCTTTGGACTAGTGCATTTTAAGTTTTAATGCTTCAACACCAAGCTTTGTCTTTCTTATCATCAAGATTCAAGCTCTTCCTTTCAACACTCAAGCTTGGAGATTCTTCTCCATACAAAAATCAAGATCTACCATTCAACACTCAAGCTTGGAGGTGCTTCTCCACTCAACAATCAAGATCAACTATTCAACACTCAAGCTTGGATCTCATTCTCCTGCTTGGATCTCATTCTCATTTCAACAATCAAGATTTACAATCCAAGCTTGGCTTCTCCAAGTTACAAAACTCCTTCAATATAACAAGTAAGACTCTTTTAAGGTAAGTCACTTCCTCTTTCATTCTTATCAAGTTTCTCTATTCAAGCTTCTTTGTTCTATTCAATTTTCTTCTCTATTCAAGCTTCTTTATTTAAAGCTTCTTCATTCTTATTCAAGTCTCCTTTCCTCTCAAATCTTATTTGCTATTATCAAGTTTGTTTTACTTTCAAGCCCCCTTTACATCTTTATCAATCACTCATTCAATATATTCCTTTTAGTTAATCTTTCTTTTCCTTTTAATGTTTTCATCATCTTTTCAAGTTTATTAATATCTTATCTTTAACCTTCTCATTTAAAGCCTTTCCATTATAAATCAATCTCTACTTCAAGAGTTTCTTTATCTTATCAACTTTGTCTTCTTAACTCTTTCTTCTATGTGTTTTCTTTCTTTCTCTTTGCTATTTACCCTTCCTCATCATTTACTTCATTTTCAAGATGGTATCAGAGCTCGAGTTTGTTCCTTTTGTTGCTCTATCCGTGCGCTCTTTCTAAAGCCCTTTATTATTTGCCATCAGTGGCTTTCTTGCACTTGGTCTTGTACCCCCTTTTGTGGGGTTCTCCCTTTGTGTTTTCCTTTTTTTTACTTTCTTCTCTCTGTGTATGTGCGTGTGTATGTTTGTCTTGTTTTTTCTATTTTCCCTTTTTTTGGTTTGATATTGCTTCGTTTCTTTCAGGAACTTTAGTTCAACATGGTTGGAAAGGATTCAAGTGTTCCAACGGGATCAACTTCATATGCTATCACCACCAACTCTTCAAATGAAGCAGCACCTCCTACGGTTAATGCACCATCTCCACCTATTTCACCATCTACATCCACCTTTACCTCCTCCTTAGTTCCAAAGTTGGAACTCCGGCGTTTCAATGGCAAGGGCTTCACATCGTGAAGTATCCGTTTTCAACAAGCTGCCACCCTTCTTGATTTGTGGGGCATCTACACCGGGCAAGTTGTTCCTCCTTCAACTGCTGCACCTGCTCAGGAACAAAGCAACTGGATCAAGAGAAATGCTGAAGCTTATCTTTACATTCTCTCTTCCATTCAAGACACCTACTCTCAACCCCTCCTCCTCGTATCATCTCAAAAGGACAGTGCCAGAGCTGCTTGGGACCGACTCAAACGCCTTCATCAACCTGTTTCTCAAGGCTCTAAGGCAGAAGTTTGGAACAAGGTCGTATCTCTTCGCATGGGGGATAGTGAATCCATCCCCGACTACTTGCAACGTGGCGAGATGGTTCTTTACGAAGCTACACTTCTTGACCTTGAAGTACCGGAGTCCCTCTTCATCACCATTCTTCTGGCTGGACTCTCATCTACTTGGAGCACAATGGGGAGCACAATTCAATCGTTTCCTGAAGAGACAAGGACCAGAGATTTCATCTTCAACACACTCATCACTGAGCACCAGACAAGAGAGCTTGCAAAGCTTCAAAGGGACCCTGGACCAGCATGGAGTGGAATGACTAATGCCAACTATCGTCCTCAACAAGGAGTTCAACAACAGAGTAAGTTTCAGCAGAGTAAGTCTCCTCCTACCCAAGCACACTCTGTTCTTGGACAACCCACACCCCATCATATTTCTCAGCTTGCATCATACTCCAATCAGATTCATTACAAGCCAAAATCAAGATATCAGTTTGAGTGTCATTATTGTCATAAATGGGGACATCCTTGGTTCAAATGCAATATACGTCCTGCGAACTGGACACCACCTTCATCTCTCCTCTCTGACAAAGGAAAGGCTGCCCTTGCTATCACATCCCATACCCCGCCAGGATATCAACCAGACAGTGCGTATCATGGACCATCTTTTCAAAATACTTCCCAAGTCCCCTCTCAAAACCAAGTCTCTGTTCCCTCTGTGCCACATCTCCCTTTCACACCAGAGGCGACTCATCAAGCCAACACTTCGCAGACACCATCCGTGGCACATGCGAAGGACTCAACTCAACCAAGTACACCGAGTTTTGCATTTGCATCATCCTCTTGTCTCCATGCCCTTACACAGGACCCCAATATTTGGTTTCTGGACAGTGGATGCGATCAACATATGACCCCTCATGCATCCCTCCTTCACAGCCTGAAGCCCTCCAATGTGAAGGAAGTGGTTGTTGCTAGCAACCATTCAGTGCCAGTTCAAGCAGAGGGAACAATGACCTTCCTCAGTCCAGAGGGGATTCATATGTCATTCTCAGGCATCTTGCTTGTCCCCTCACTTGGTGCAAACCTTCTCTCGATTGGTCAAATGGAAGAGAAGGGTATCTCTATTTCTTTCTCAGATGGTTCAGTGCAGGTTTGTGCTCCAACAGGGCATCATATTGCAAGAGGTGTTCGCAATGAATGCCTCTATCGAGTGGAGATCGATGCACAGCCACCTCCCAAGCCCTACAGCAGTCCCTCAGTTGCTGCTGCTACCACCTCGGTAAGACTTCACCCTGGTACATCTGCATCTCCTTACACTTGGCATTGTCGTTTTGGTCATCCTGAAGAGTCCAGCATCACACGCATGCAAGCACATGCAAGCGTTGATGGTCTCATCATCTCCAAGCAATTGTCATCCTCTCAGTCATCGTGTCACACTTGTGTTGAGGCTAAGCTTCCTTGTCATCCTTTCTATTCTTCTGAGTCTGAAGACTCTCGACTACTTGAGCTCATTCATAGTGACCTGATGGGTCCTTCCCGTACACCGAGTCGTACTGGGAAAAAATATGTCATGTCACTCATTGATCATCATACAAAATTTGCATGGATCTCCCTTCTTGGATCCAAAGATGAAGCTCCCGGTGTTATTTAGTCCAGGTTCCCTTATGTCGAACGTCAGTTGGGTCTCAAAGTCAACATCTTTCGTTCTGATCGTGGAGGAGAGTACATGTCTAACTCTTTTCGCTCCTTTCTT